GTCTCTAGCCGGGCAGGTCTCCAGGCCGAGCTTAGCTTCGGGCTCGAGGAAGCCCGTGGCAGCGAGCGTGCTCAAGGGAATGACTCCTAGAGGTCGTCGAGACCTCTCAGGGCGGCGGCGGCGCAGGAAATGCGCCGCGCGCCGTGCTGCGCCCTGGGGCGGGGGAGCTAGAAGCCAGACGCCCTTCCCCCCATCGTCCGCGGCCCCAGGGCTTGGGGGGGGAGGGGGGGGGGGCGGTCGCCCGAAGGCAGGGGTCCTGAAGCAGGGGGGGGGGGGGGGGGGGGGGGGCGGTGGGTGGGTGGTCATGCGCGTCCTTTTGCTCGGCCCCGTTTGTCTGGCGAAGGCTCTGTGGCCTCAGAGCCTGGACTGGAGTGGCTGGCAGGCCCGTCGTATCCTTGTCCCTGAATTGCAGCGACTGAGCGAGAACGAACCCTATCTCGCAAACAGACGCTGGCTGAATTATTAGGCTGCACGCTGTCTGCTGGCAGAGTCTGAACGATCGCGGGTTTCCTTGCGATGCGATGGCGTTTGAGAGCAGAGGGAAGAGGGCAGGCAGACTGCGTGGAAAAGCATCGGCGATGGCGCAGCCGAGAATCGAGAGAGGCAGTGGAAATTTGCCCCGCCGGGGCGAACGAAGCCCGCGCCGCCGTGAAGAGCCTGGCCTGACCGTGCCCTTCTGCTTGATGCCCTGCAGCAGGAGAACGGGATTCAGGTCGATCTTTAGATCCATGCGCTGTAGCTGCAATCAGATATCCTTGTCTAGATTCGGAGGCATGTTGCTCTTGAGGGCCGGTGTTTCTCCACTCCCACCTTCTGCAGGGCGCGCGCCCGTCTTGATCGAAATGGCTCGGAACTCCTGCGTCGGCCCCGTGCTGTTGGCTGCGGGCGTCGGGTGCTCCGTGCTGTCTGACTGGGTCCAGGCAGAAAGACGTCTTCCCTCTCGCTCTGCGACAACATCAGAGTGGGATCCAACATGTCCTGCGGGATAGGCCCCAGGAGCTTGTCCTCTGGCAAGGGGCCCCGCATCTGCGTGGGCGGCGTCGTCCCTGGGGCCCCCGTCGCCAGCGCCTCCTCCCGAATGTAGTCCTTCTTCTACAGCTCTTCCCAAAGGGGGATGCCAGGAGTCGGGCTGGCCGCATTGAACTGTGCCGCCTCGACCTGAGAGGCAGTAGTCGGCATTCGGGCAGCTTGTGCCGGGCTCGGCGCTCTCATGGATGCAGGAGGCGTCGTGGGCGAGACGACGACCGGAGTCTTCGGGCACTGTCCTGCGCCGAGGGGAACCCCGTGTCCTTGCCCGGGAACCCCGTGTCCTTGCCCGTGATCATTACCGCAAGTTTCTGCTGGAAACTGGCGAACTGCTGCTCCATGGAGTCCTGGCGATACATCATGAGCTGGATTGCGGAGGCGATCGTCTGCTGCTGCTGCGTGTCGTAGGCTAGCTTCGTGTTGAGGCTGGGTGCTGCGCATTGGGCTGTGATTTCTGCGGGTGCATGGGCAGGGGCTGCCGTCGCTCTCGGGGCTGTGTCCCAACCTGTTCTCGCAGGAGGATGTGGCGGAGGCGGCACAGGGGGATGACGAGGAGGGCCATTCGATGGCGGCTGGTCCCAACCTTTCTTTCCACCATGCGCATCCCTGCCAACTTCTTGACCAACTGGGGCACCTGATGGATCCACGAAGCCGTCTGTGTCCATGTGGGCGGCTCTGGACTGCATCGAGCGGAAACCGCTGGAGTGCTAGTACTCCTCCTCTTGTTGCTGCTGCTCCAGATCCTGCTATGTAGCCCTGGCGTCCATGATGAGTTGTTCGAACCCGACTTCTCTCATCTCGAACTCATTTCTCTTTTGTACCGTCTCCCGAAGCTGTTGCTCTAGCTTGTTCTTGCGATACTGAGCGTCCGCCAGCTGATCCCCTGAGGGCTTTAGAATGCTGAGGCAATTGTGTAGCATGGGAATCTCGAGCATTTCCTGAGAGTCGCTCTTCTCGGCACCACGTGCAACCACAACAAGCTTGGCAAGTGTGTGCTGTCGCTCCCGAACACGCCGTTTCTATTCTCCCAAGTCTCCTGTGCTGGGCGGCTCCCAGCGCTCGAAGTCGGGGTGATTCTGCATTGAACATGCTGGTGATCGGGATCTTCTTCTTCTTCTCCTCCTCCTCCTTTTCTTTTTTCCTCCTCTTTCCTCCCTCCTCCTCCTCCTCCCTCCTCCTCCTCCTCCTCCTCCTCCTCCGCCTCCTCCTCCTCCTCCTTCTGAATCACGCGGCCAGAGACGCGGAGGCCCACGCCTGGGGGCCTCTTGGGGGGCGCGGCCACTGGGTGCGGAGCTGGACCCCCCCCGCGCCGTGGAATAACAACAAAAATCACGACGGGAGGCTTATTCCGTTTTTTTGTCGGCTTCCGGGGGCCTCTCACTGGGCCTCTGGGGGCCGTCAACACGACGACTCGGGAGGAGAAGCCGGTCCCAGGAAGTGGTCCAGACCTGTTGGTGTAGGCCTCGTAGATGGGGTCGGAGTAGATGGGGTCGGAGGGTCGCGCCGCATCGCCGATGCATCGCCGAGGCGGCTCGATGTGGGGCGCGATTTGCTTCACGTCGACGTTGCCGATGCATCGCCGACGTCGACGATGTGTCGCCGGTGCATCACCGATGCATCGCCGATGCATCGCCCATCCGACCCCATCTTCTCCGACCCCATCTAGGAGACCTCTATAACCTCTTGGGGTCGACGTGTCCGTGCTCTTACGGGATACTGGCCCCGTGGGTGGCGCTGGGGACCTCACGAGGATCCGCCACTTTCGCCACCACCAGGCCTAGCTCCCGCATGTTGAGAAGATCTGGACCGCGCCTCCCCACGGCGATTCGACCTCTGGGGGTCGACTTTGTGAAAGCTCGCGGCGTTGGAGACAGCATGCTGCTTTGCATGAGTTTGATGCCAATGAATGGAGGACCAATTGGATCCGTCAGTGGATCAGTCCTGTGTGCTGACGTAGAAGCTATAATGCTTCTTTTTGGTAGTGGGCCAGCTTATGATGCCAACCCATGCCCAGCCCGTCCCGTCTCCAGGGACTTCGCATCCCCCTATGTGGGGCGCTGGCGCCGGCAGCGGCTGGCTGCACGGGGCCCCCGCGGGTCGTGGCCCCAGCACGGCTCGGTCTACCCCCCCGCGCGCGCGCGAAGCGGCGGCGACTCCCGCCGGGGCCCCGCGCCGTGGCGGCCGAGATCGGCCTTAGCGTCGCGTCCGCGAGGGCGAGTGCATCGGCGGCAAGGCGGGGGTCAGGAGTCAGAAGACCCAGGACGAAGTCCAGGAAGAAGCCCCAGGAAGGTTGCATAAACATACAAGCAGTTACATAAACATAAGCGAAGCCCAGGACGGAGTCCTAGGGGAACGAACGGTGACATAACCATAAAATTCGGAGGTCCGCGCGGATTTCTCGGACCGGCGCTGGAGACCCTTGGCGGCGCCTCCGGCGCCGCCCCTGGCGCGCTCCGCGCACCAGGGAGGGGGGTCCAGCGCAGATCCAGGAACTCCGCGCGGAGCGCCAAAAGTTTATGAGTATGTTGTGTTTTCTTCTTCTAGCATCGGCGGCAGGACGGGGTTCAGGTGTCGGGAATCCCAGGACGAAGTCTAGAAAGAAACCATAAGCCTAAGGGAAAAGCCCCCGCTCAGTACAATGCACGTACGCGGCACGGGTGGGGGGATGGCCGGGCCACCGGGGACGCTCTTTCGCCTGGCGTATGCAGCCGGCGACGGGGGTCCCCCCTTGCAGCTGCGGCGGCGCTGCTGTCCGCAGGATCGCGCTCGGGTGCTCGGGAGCTCGGACGCTTCTCAGGATGGCCAGCTCGTTCGCGCGGAGAAGAATCACCAGGCGCGTTCCACTACTCGCAGAGAGCCTACTCGCAAACGTTCGAAAGCACATGCCTGCCTCGATGTAGTGGATCGTAAATCCCTGCGGCGGATTCAGGCCACCTGCGAATAGTTACTTTTGTGGAACGCGTTTTGTCTCAAGTGCGAGGAGGACTTCTGCGCCACCTGAAGGAGTGTCAAGTGCGCAGGGCGGCCTGTAGGTTTACAGGTTTACAGGGGCTGAGGTTGCACTATGACGGCCTCTTCGACGACCGCGGCGGCATTCAGCAGACCTCAATGCCCAGTCCAATCGCGGGTACGGCATCGACGAGAGCGGAATTCATATCAGGGGGTGTAACCCAGGAGCGCGCAGCGCATCCAGACGGCATGGCAGAAAGTTGAGATCCACAGACTCGAGGGTCACCTGGCCGGCGCGCGCGCAGAGTTCTGCGAACAGCCGGGAGCTCAGCGTGTGCAAGGTTCTCGCCAGGCGGCGCCGAACCTCGGCTGGTCGCGCGTGCCCGTGCCCGTCGGGAGCCAGCGCCGCTTTCCGCCCCCGTGCCTTGCGTCGAAGGCAGCGCAAGTCGGTTCTGGAGTTGGTGTGTCCTGGCCACTCCGTGTGAACGCAGCTCTGGGCCGAGTCCGCGCCGAGCCCTGGCGCCTTGTGGCTCCGGCCCGGTCGGTTGCCTCGCCGCGGCCCGGTTCTAGCGGGCCGTGTGACCCTCGGCGGGGGGTATGCCGCCAGTGCCTTGCTGGGGCAGCGCTCCCGCGTGGTGTAGCTTCGATGGAGGTCGCGTGCTGAGTCCCGTCGGTTCGGCCGTGCCAGTGCCCAGGGTGGCGGCCTTGTTGGTTGCGTCGGGCGTCACTGGGCGTCGCACTTTTTTCGAGTTCGGTCTCATCATCACCACCGTCGCCCTCGTCGTTATCATTGTCTTCTTCTTGCTCTTCCTCCACATCTTATTCTTTCTTCAACTCCACGCCATCATCCTATTCTTCATGCTCGTCCTTCCTCATTTTGCTGGTCGTGTATCCACATCCATTATTATTCCTCTTGCTTTGTCTTATCGGCTTTCGTCCTGCTTCTTTCTCGTCATTCTCATCCTCTTCCTCCCTTATTCATTATGCCTGCGGCTTCTCATTGGACGTTCGGTGGGCCGCGCGAGGACGAGACGCCAGAGAAGGAGTTCAAGGGGAGTAAGAGCTGCGACAAGAGGGCTAAGCAGCACAAGAAGGACAACGACAAGAGCTGTGACAAGAGGGATAAGCAGCAGGGCGAGGCTTGCCGCCTCTGCACATGCGGGGCAATGGGGTTTGTGGGGCGAAGCAGGGGAGGCGCAATCCAGCGACGACAGGACAGGCAGACAGGCTGCCAAGCAGCAAGCAGCGAAGCGGGAGGATGCGATGATGAAGGTGATAAGGAAACTGAAGGAGCATTTAGACATCCAGGTGCCTTCAATGGTTCTAGCCCGAAGTCCATGGCGGCGGCTGCCGGACCTCCGTGCGCACCGCCCGCTTGCAGCGGCCGCCGACGACGACAACGACGCCGACGCCGACGCCGACAACGATCCCAATGCCGCCGCCGCCGCCAACGACGACGACGACGACGACGACGACGACGACGACGACGACGACGACGGCGACGATAACGACGACGACGACGACGACGACGATAACGACGATAGACGACGACGCCGACGACGACGACGACGACGACGACGACGACGACGAGGAGCACGCGGAGCCCGGCTCGCCAGGGCAGCTCTGCAGGCTCCCGTGGTCGGCAGGCGGCTCCTCAGCAGGCGGATGCTCGTCGTCATTGGCTGCCGCTGCTGTGCCCGCCGCTGCTGCCCTCCCTCCCCTCCTCCGCCTTCGTCCTGCGCCTCCTCCGCCCCTTCGCCCTCCTCATCCTCGCCCTCCTCATCCTCGTCATCGTCGCCGTCGTCGTCGTCGTCGTCGTCGTCGTTGTTTTCCTTCTCCTCTTCCTCCTCCTCCTCCTCCTACTCCTCCTCCTCCCTCTCTTCACCCGCCCTCCTTCTCCTTCTCCTTCTCGCTCCTCCTCTTCCTCCCTGTGCCGTCGCCCGATCTCTGTACAGCGGCTTCCTCCGTTCTCTTTTCGTGGTTCTCTTCAAATTCACTACTGTGGGGGCCCATGCCAAGAAATACCCTGCTTGCCTCCAGGGTGCCCTGGGTTTCTTGGGTTTCGATGATTCTTTTTGTATGGAAAGCGTGACGTTCCCACACCGAAAACCATTAGGCGTCCTGGGGTCTTAGGGTTGGATTTCTCGTGGAAGGTTTCTTGTGGACCAGACCCCGCTGTATTTCTGTTTCTTCTCTTCTTCTCCTCTTTCGTCCTTCCCTTCCTTCTGCTCGGCGGAGGGGCTGGCGCTGGATATCGGCGACGCCAAAGAGTCGAGCGCCGCGTGGACGAGGGTGTGGCGGCCTCAGCAGCGCACGGCAGCGCGATCAGGCTCCCGCGCGCGGTCTCGAACGCCCAGCTTTCTGAGCCCCACAGCCCGCTACAACTCGTGCTCGCCCTCGCGCCTCTGTAATATTCGGCCACGTGCACGAGGGGGGAAGGTCTCTTAGAAGGAGAAGGATTCGGTAGCAAATCATGAGAGCCTGGTGTACCCTCTGAATTCCGTCTGTCGCGTCGACTGGCGTCGACTAGCGTCTGCGAGTCGGTGAGATAGCGCCGATGTAGCGTAGGTTAGCGTCGATTTAGCGTCGATTAGCGTCGATTTCGTGCGCACAAGGGCAGGGGAGGAAAAGGTACACCATACCGCTACCCTTCCCTCTTTTTCCCCTTGTTGGGCCTCTTGGAGGCCCTCGTCGCCTCCGCTAGGTTCGCCTCGAAATCCGGGTCAGAGCGCACCACGGGAGACGTCCAGGGAGTAGCGGTATCGATACTTTTCGGCTTCCCCACAAGGGGGGCAGGGGGAGGAGGGGAGTCCTCTTAGAGGGAGGAGGCCGCTTCTAAGAAGGCGCGGGCCTTGTCTGTACATGTGAGGCCCGCTCCCTCTGAGAAGCGGCTCCCTTCCGTTAGAGGAAGGCGGCTGCTCCTCGGAAGGCGCGGGCCCCGTCTGTACATGTGAGGCCCGCGCCTTCTGAGAGGCAGCTAACCGACGCTAAATCAACGCTAACCTACGCTAAATCGGCGCTATCTCACCGACTCGCAGACGCCAGTCGACGCTAATCGACGCGACAGACGGAATTCAGAGGGTACACCAGGCTCCCATGATTGGCTACCGAAGCCTCCTCCTTCCAAGAGGTCTTCCCCCCGCCCCCTGCCCCCCTCGTGCGCTCGCCGCCACTGGATGTCGACGGGGGTTGTCGCGAGGGGGCTCTTGCTCCAGGGCTTGTCCGCAGGGGCGCGAAGAGGCGGTCGGGCTTCGGGGGCTGGGCAGCTGCCCCTCTCTCCTCAGGGGCGGCAGGGGTGCGCTTCGGGACGAGATCCGTGGCTCCGTCGGGGGCAGCGCTCGCCCACGGACGGGGGCATCGAAGTTGCTCGAGCTGTCTCGTGGGACGAAGTTTAGGGGAACGAAGAATGACATAAACATCATCACTCGGAGGTCCGCGCTGATTTCTCGGATCAGCGCTAGACCCCCCTGGCGGCGCATCCGGCGTCGCCCCTGGCGCGCTCCGCGCGCCAGGGGGGTCCAGCGCCGATCCAAGGAATCTGCGCGGATTTCGGAGTTTTTATGTTTATGTCATTTTTCGTTCCCCTAGAACTTTTACGATTCATCAGCAGCCCGAACGATGTTGGTGTAGTTTAGGTGTCTTTTTGTTTGCTTCTTGTCGGAGCGTATTTTCCGTGCACACTTCGGAAACCATCGAGCAGCACACATCGATTTGTGTTTCGAGAATGTTCGCGATCTCAGAGTGCAATCCTAGCGCGTTTGACCGCTATCGGAGCTCCGCAGAATTTGTTTGAGACGATGTATGATTACACAGTGTTACACTCGCACGTTTATTGGCCATCAAGGTTCCAGACTTGGATTGAGGATTCAGGGTTTCAGAGTGAAGCCCACACACGTCTGCTGACCATCGAAGGCTTACCCGCTGGGACGACGCATGATCTCAGAATGCAGCCATCACTCGCTCGCGGGACGTCCCGTAGACCCTACCTATCATTTCAGGCCAGCGGGAGGTCACCAGTGGACGTCACGAAGCGCGCGCCTGCACGACCGGCCCCACCTCTGTACCACTACCAGCGAAAGCCGATGGGCTTTGGGTCGGGCGTCTAGTAACATCAGGAGGGGAAAAAAACCCACAGACACAATTCATCGGCGATTGCCCAGAAAATATGGGAAAATATGGAAAGTGGTGGGGAAGACGGAAACCCATAAAATATGTGAAAACATGGAACATCTTGGGATTTGTGGGTATTTGTTTGTGTGTCCCTGGGCCCCTTCATAACAGGGGTGCGGCAAATGGGTGGGGGGGTGAGGAAGGGTGCGCCTTCAGTGCCCTGACAGGGGCCCCGAATAGGCCATCTGGGGCCCCAAAAAGGGGCACGAGAGGTGCACGTTTCTTTGCCCCCCCCCAAGGGAGGAGGAGGAGGAGGAGGAGGAGGAGGAGGAGGAGGAGGAGGAGGAGGAGGAGGAGGAGGAGGAGGAGGAGGAAGAGGAGGAGGAGGAGAAAGGTGCGCCGATAACGCCTAAATGAGTGTATTTCCAGACGCTTCAGCGTCCACTGCCTGGTCACTTCAGCCCCACCTGGCTGCTCCAGCGCGCCAGTCCTGAAACGCTTTCGGCCTTTTGTTGCTCCCATCGCACTCAAGGACCACATCCCAGAAGCAATTCCGAGCACCCAGGAAAGTGTCGAAGCGGTGTCGAACGAGTGTCGCCTCCCAGGGCCGATACGTGAAAACCCTCGAGTTTCGGTACCTCCTGGGTGCTGGAAGTTCCTTCTGGTTATCAAGGCGTAAAGTAGGCTGGAACATTTCATGTTGGATGTCCTGATGTTGGTGCCTCCCCTCCTCCCTCCCTCTCCTTTCTGGGGTCGAGCCCCACAATTTTGCCCCACCTCACGCGTCTCACCTTTTCCCTGATGCGCCCCCACCTCCCCACAGGGCTTTACCGTGGGGAGGTGGCAGGACAGGTTCTGCAGGTACCAGGTACCCCCCGATCTACCTCGAGTCAGTCAGGCTGGAACGGTATAAGTTCAGCCGTGAGTGCCCTCCTCCTTCCGGGCCTCTGCGACCGCCTCTCCTCCCCTGCAGCCAGACGACTACTGTTCGTCGCGCGCCTCCCGACCACTCGGGCGCCCGTGCGGCTTGCCTCCTTCGCCGCGCTGCGACGCAAAAAAGTGCCCCGAGGATACATCGGGCGAGGCTAAAACTCGATCCTCCTCCTTCTCCTCCTCCTCCTCCTCCTCCTCCTCCTCCTCCTCTTCCTCCTCCTCCTCCTCCTCCTCCTCCTCCTCCTCCTCCTCCTCTGCTGCGCGACTGCTTGCGACCCGTGGGCCCAGCTCGGACGTGGCCAGGACGAGGACAGAACAGTTTCCCAGAGCGTTCCGGAACGCTCCTCTCATACCATTCCAGTACGCTCTGAGGAGGCCGCGGCGCCCGAGATGAGGAAGTTTAAACAGCCGCCCAGCCCCGCAAACGCGAGCGCCGAAGCAAGATGCAGGCTCCTGCGGTTTCAGAGAGAGATTTCGGGGTAGGGTCTTGCGTGGGGAACCGCTGCGAAGGCAAACCATACTCCCGGAATCCTGCGCCGACAATCGGATTCTGAGCATCAGTGCTCTCGCTGGACAGCGGGCTCAACTCTTGCGGCGCCCAGAGCCAGTTGCCGGCGAGTCCGGGGAACCCGAGTTCGGCCATTTGCGAGCTCCGCGGCTTGCCCGACCTGGCGCCCCTTCATGACAGAGGTACCGACCATCCTTGGCCGCTTTTCGAATATGCTCGGTCAGTCGGCGAGTTTGGGATCGGGACCTTGCTCTCTCTTGGTCCCAGGACGTACCCCCGAGCCGCCGGATCTCAGAGATTCTCGATGTTTTCCTCCCCCGATGTTATCCTCGTCCTGGTTTCGTCTTGCCAGAGTTAAGGCGGGCGTGTCCCTCTACAGGAGGACTATCAACAAATAATCAAAACATGAAGAGCATTTTTTTTGGTTTGAACCGTTCCCCCCCCAATTTCTCTTCAAAATCCGCCTGGAGAGGGGAAGTGCCCGACCTAATGCCAGAGCTCCCGAGGCCACCCGTCTCCCCTGCGGGCAGCCCCCTTTTCGGGCGCGGGGCGGCCATCTGTCCGGGCAGTCCCCTCCTGTGGGGCCCGAGGACCAGGCCCTGGAGGGAGGGGGCAGAAGCAGACGCGGGGCTCAAGAGACGGGGGTCGATGCAAACGGGGGCCCGCCTTAGGTCGGGCATGTCTCCCTTACAGGCGGATTTTGGAGGAAAAATCAAAAATACCACCTCAAATGTGCAAAAAGAGTCAATCAATAGTCAAAAAGTCGTCCCCAGACGATTTTTTCACTATTTTTGAATTTTCCTCTTGTAGAGGAGGGACACGCCCGACGTCAGGTCAGCCAGAGCGCCGGATCTTGCCGGATCCTGCAGGGCCAGGGGTTCACTGACCTGGGCTTGGGTGCAGGATCTTGTAGGTTCCTGCAAGGCCTGACTGACCCGGGTCTGTAGTGACCCTGGTCAGAAGATCCCCGACAAGCGGGGCTCGTCTTCACCGCCGTTGGCGCGCTGTGAAGGACGAGGGTAAAGGAATTACCGGGCGTCGTGTTCCTCGGCACCACCCAGACATATTGATGCTGCAGTCATTCGGTAGCAGTTCATGGGAGCCTGGTCTGCCCTCGCAATTCCGTCTTTAGCGTCGACTAGCGCCAATTTAGCGTCGGTTAGCGTCGATTCGCAAGAGCCGACAAGATGGTATGGGAGGCTCCCATGAGTTGCCACCGAACAGTCAACCCGCATAGTATGGATGGGCAACCTTTCCAAGGGTACGCTTGCATCCTTGCCCTTTCGGCCCATCCTTAGCGGCTTTTGCTGGCCAGCCTCGTTCGGAAAACTTTGACATGGCCCTCCAAGGCCCTTGCATTCTTACCCCGTATCCTTATTTTACGGGTTGACTGTTCCGGGGGTGGCTTTCATCGGCGCCACCAAAGCATACTGATACCGTGTGTGCGCTCAGTGGGCCCCTGAAACGGCAGGGCCGTCTTTTCTTTGTTTCCGGAAATATGCCTCTGGGAAGGGGAAGCAGTTAGAAAAAAGGTAAGAAAACGGCTCAGGGATTGGAGCCAGAGCTGGAACCGGCAAGACAAAAGCGACGGAGCCAGCAAAAACATGGCGCCGGAACCGGCAACAAAAACGGCAAACGGAACCGTCAAACAATGGCAGAACGGAACCGGCAACCACAATTGTGGCTTGGTCGCTCCCAGGGCACACGGAGTGTGTGCGTGGGCTCCGCAGGGGCGACGCTCGTGTTCGGACACCTTCTAGCATAAGCTCCGTGGCGGGCGCTTTCTCGCCATGCCGCTCGGGCTGTTGCGCGCTTCCTACATCAGCACATAGTACTAGTATGTCCTTTTGCATCCCATGTTCACGCGGCGGCGCCCAGGGTGATGATTAGAAGAACCAGCCCCGTGCCAGGAACCAGTTTTTGTAATCGTTCCTCCTCCGTTCTCTTCAGGTGCGCGCCTGGATTGCCGACGGGCCAGACGGAGCCGAAGCGAGGCGGAAACCGAAGATTCGCAGACTATTTTGTTAATGTTTCCCCCCCTTCTTCCATTGCTCGTCATCTCGCATTGCGCTTCCCGCGTGAGGTCGCGCGTGAGCGCCCTCGTCTCCAGTGTAGCGTGCCGCGCTGGCGGCCCGCGTGAGCTGCGGCGCGAGGTCGCTATGCCGTCTCGCGTAGGAACCGCTTCTTTTCATCGCCCAGGTGCCGAAAATCGAGGCGAGAGGCCCTGGACCGAAGGAAGCACCTCACCAGAGACAAAAGCACCACTACCACCAGCTAGGGGGGTGGCGGTCCCACCCTCTCGAGCTGGTGGCACCTCGTTCTGGGCATGCCTCCAAAGAGTTCCTGGAAGGAGGTGCCACCAGCTCGAGAGGGTGGGAGCGGCCACCCCCCTAGCTGGTGGTAGTGGTACTCCTGTCTCTCCCGAACACCGTCGGAGCTCCTGGGCTTCTCGCGAGAGGCCGCGCGGGAGGTGCCACCAGCTCGAGAGGGTGGGAGCGGCCACCCCCCTAGCTGGTGGTAGTGGTACTCCTGTCTCTCCCGAACACCGTCGGAGCTCGCGGGAGGCCGCACGGCCCGCCCGCGGCACTTCCCCCCCCTGCCCCCCTCGGCTCTGCCACTGGGCCCCGGGCCTCCCGGCGTTTTTGTTGTTGTTGTTGTTGTTGCTGCTGCTGCTGCTGCTGCTGCTGTTGTTGTTGTTGTTGTTGTTGTTGTTGTTGTTGTTGTTGTTGTTGTTGTTCTTCTCGGCGGCGAGCCCAAGGGGGGGAATTCAGAGGCGGTGGGCCTTCTCAGAAGGCTGGAAGGGGGCTTCCGAGAAGCCCCGCCGCCTTCTGAGGAGGCCTGCCCCCCTTCTCACTTCCCCCCCAGGCTTCGGCAGGAGACCATGGGAGCCTTGTGTGTTTTCGTAATTCCGTTTCTAGAGTGCATTAGCGTCGATTGACTTTGGGTCATCGATGTGGTAGCGGGCAGCGCCGAGTTAGCGTCGGTTGGTGTCGATTAGCGTCGACGAGTGTCGACAGGCATCGATCAGCGTCGATTCGCAAGAGCCAGCAAGATGGCATGGGAGGCTCCCAGGAGTTGTCACCGAACCAGGCGCGCCGCCGAGTTTTGGCCGCGGGCGACGACCCCCCCGCGCGGCCACCGGGTGGCCGCGCTGCGCGGGGTCGCGCCCCTGAGCGGGCCCTGGGCCTCTGGCTATTTGACTGAAGAGCCGAGGAGGAGGAGGAGGAGGAGGAGGCGACTTCAGAGGCAGCGTTAGAGGGGGACAGGCTGCCAGGCTCACGGTCACGGAAGCACAGGCACGGATCGAGGCGCGTGGATTCGCGACGGGCCCTGTTTCCATGCTGATTCGGCGCTCCGTCGCCAAATCAGGGGGCGCTGGCCTCGTGCTCTGGGGGTGCTTTCCCGGATCCATGGAACCGGTGCCAACGAGCCAGATCCACGGATGGCTGGAGTTATGACTCGAAAACCACCAGGGGGTAGGCTCAGTGGGGATACAACGACCCCCAGCCCCCCTTTGATCGCCGATAACTGCCTGCTAGCCCACCCCGCCCAGGTGCCGCTCCGCTCTCGGGGGCCAAATCGCCGCTCTGTCGGCGATGTATCGCCGATTCCAGCTCGGTGTCCCCCCTCCGCCTGAGCTAGTCCCCTTTTCGTTGGCCCCGAGCGTTCTGGAACGGGTGGAGAGCTGGGATGTTTTTTGAAGCCTTGCGCCCGAGCAGACCCGCTCCTTCCGCGCGCCTCGCGTGCCTAGATCTATATGGGGGGCCCTGTGAGTACAGTGGGGGCCCGTCCACAAGAAATCTTCCACAAGAAACCCAATCCTGCGACCCCAGGACGCTCACTGGTTTTTGGTGTGGGAGCGTCATGCTTTCCATGGAAAAACCATCGAATCCCAAGAAACCCAGGGCACCCTGGAGGCAAGCAGGGTGTTGCTTGGTATGGGCCTCCACTGTACCCCTGTGTGTTGCTGGCGCCGCCTGCCGCTCCGTCCGTACAGCCACCTGTGAGAGAGAGAGGAGCGGGTAGTGCTAGATCGGGCATGTTCCTCGACAGGAGGAATACCCCAAAATAGTCCACGATTAGCCTGGGGACAATGCTTTGACTATTCTTGATGGTCTTTGAGTATTCTTTGACTCTTTTTGATCTTTCTTCCAATGTCTGCTTGTAGGAGGACGTGCCCGACACCTGAGGATAGTGGGGTGGCCAGCAGGGAAAAGCGGATGAGCGGGAGGAAGGGGGGGGGGCGAAGAGAAGGGCAGGGAAGCAGGGCAAGGCGGATGAGAGGGAGGAAGGGGGGGAGGTGAAGAGAGAAGGGCAGGTGGTGGCCCGATGGAGAGGGAGGGGAGGAATCTCCCAGCTGGGGCCTCCCCCTCTCCAGCGGCGCTTCCTCGGCCGCCCATGCCTCGATGTGCGATTTTGGCTGTCTTCAAGCCTCGCGCGAGACTGCTCGGATGGTGCAGAGCACGCAGCGGCGCTGAGTACCACGCGGAGAGCACGATCCACGCCCCAGCGTCGCGAAGACCCGTCCTAAGGTGGTGGCACCAGAGCCGCTGCCACTGGTTCTTCCGGTGGAGCACCGACAAGGTCGGCGCCTCGTCGCCTTTCTCCCTCCATGTCCAGTGCTTGTGCCCTCTCTCGTTGCCCTTCGGCCTCAGCCACAGATGATCCCCCACCTGCGCACCTGCCACTTTCCCTTTCTCCCCGTCTCCAACCTTCTGCCCCCGCTCGCCTTCCCTTTTTCCCTTCTCCCCGTTTCCTGCCCCTTCGACCCGCCCCTCCCCCTCCCCTCCCTCCCCCTCGCCCTCCCAGTCATTCTGGCTCAACCCATCGGCTCAAGGCCCACTTCGCAACAGGGTGTGGCGACTGGTTGTCGTCCTCTGGCCTGCCCGCTTCCTCTGGCGCAGGGCCTCGTGCGTTCGCCCCGGCGTTTCTGGGTATGGGCGGCCACGCCCACGCACAGTAGGTTCGTGTCGTGCCGACGAGGCGGCGACTGCAGCGCGGGCGTTCAAAGGTGGAACGCCGGTTGCGGCCCAGAATCGGCCAGTATAGAACGACCTGGCGATCGAAAAGCTGCCGATCGTTCAAGGCTGAACGATCCACACGGTGTCAGAAACCATGGCCCCCGTCATCGCGACACGAACCCGCCGTGCACAAGCCCGTGGACGAGAAATGCATTCAATCTTTCTGCTATATGAGTACTTGGTGGGGAGTGTATGAGCGATCTCGACGAACAGAGAAACAGCATAAATATAATTTCTCGGAGGTTTGTGCGGCTTTCTTGGACCGGCACTGGGCCCCGCTTGGATGGGCGCCTCCAGCACGCTCCGCACGCCAGGGAGTGGGGTCCAGCGCCGATCCAAGAAGTCCGCGCGGACCTCCGAGAAGTTGTGCTTATGTGATCGTTTTCGTATTCATTGTTTTGCCGATCGGCGCGGGCCCTCGAACCTCCCCCCTCCCCCCCCCCATGGAGTAGATCTTGGCTGTTTTTGGGCGCCTGTTTCGAGCAGGTGGAGTCTCCCCCAGAGGACGCACGCTTCCAAACAGCCGCATTCAGCAGAGGTCTGGAGCCAGACCTCCCCCCTCCCCCCCCCCTTCCGCCAATTGTCAGAACGCCGAATAAGAAAACGATGACAATGCCGTTTTCCTATTCCTCCACGATCTGGACCTCCGAAGAGTCATTAGGCGATGCATCCCCGTGCGCTGCGGCTCCGATCGCACCAGCAACAGCTCCTTGCCTCCACACATCTTCGCTCGGTGGCGGCTTGTGACGCCGGCGTTCGCGTGGACTTGGCACACCCAGACCTGCTTCGGGCCTTGACCTGCCGCGCCGTCTCTAATAATGAGGCCAGCCCCCGAGCTGTCCCGTCGCAAAGTGTGCGGTTCGAATCCCTGATGAGTCATCAGGTGTTCCCTGCGTTTCACAGTTCGGCGGCGAAATCCGAACCCTACCGTCGCCGACCAATGATTCTGGCAACTCGACGGGCGGCGGGGGTAGGGCTTGGAATTCGTCGAACTGGTGGCGAACTCCGAACCCTACCCTCAGCTCCCATCGACTCTGGAGGATCGATGGTTGGTGGGGGTAGGGTTCGGATGTCGCCGCCTAAGAGTGGCCCAGCTGCGGGTAGCCATTTTCAGCGACAGTCGGCCTTGGCAGGGCCACACGCCGCCCACTTCCTCTCTTCATCTCGTCGCTTTTCTTCTGTCCCCGTCGTTTCAGGAGGGGAAGAAGCACACAGACACATGCAAACGTCGATTCCCAGGGAAACATGGAGACTCTGGGAAGTGGAGGGGAAGACGAACATCCAGGAAAACATGGAGAACGTTTGCGGCGTTCCTCTCGGGACACCCTCAAACAAAAAGCTGCCGTCGGAGACTCGCCTTGCGGCCCAGTGCCCGTGAGGGCCTGGCATCTGAGCTCGTCTTCGCGATACCGCCATCGTCCGTCGCCGCCCCTCCCTCCTGCGAGTAGGCGGTAGATAGCCGCCATTGTTTTTCTCGCCCCTGCTCGTTCCGAAGCCGACTGGGTCCGACATCCTTAACTCAACGCCGCCCTGGCACCAAGCGGACGAGTTTACTAGATTGTTCCTGCATCTTTTGCATCGACACGTTAGCGAACAGACGTTGGTTTCCGCTGAGTGCCCTTCGCCGTCGGCGGTTTGGTTTGGGGATTGCTTCGACGTCGGCATCGGAACAGGGTGGATTTGGTAGTCTGCCATTTGGGCGCGTTTGCACATCACTTCCAAATCTGCGCATGTCGGAAACGCTTGTGGCCATGCCACCTGATTGCTCCCGCGTGGGGCTTGTCACCCGTTACCCCATGTTTGGGGCCTGACACCTGTTGGCTCCCGTTTGTGGCTTGTCACGTGTGAGCTCCCGCTTTCCGTTCGAGGTTCGAAACAAGCACATTGTGATCAGTAAGTATTTCGTTCGGTACTGACATGATTTGGGTCGTCTTGGAAGCGACGACCGATCTCGTGTGCCTGCACGCCCCGAGGACCTGTGTGTCCGGCCAGAGCAGGTCGTTGAACAGGTGAAAGCTCTCATGTTGTAGCATTTCCTCCAGTGTTGTTGCTCACTCATCGTACGTGTTGCTTTCATCACGGCTTTCGTGCTCACAGCGTGTGCGCATCTTTACAAGCGTATGGGACCACCGCAGCTTGTTTGTTATAATTTGGGTTTCGTCCGTAAGCGACTACGCTCGATTCACCAATGCACCACTCGCCCAAACCAGCACACACAGTTCATCAGTGTCTGTACATCTCGTTTGCGAGCTGTTTGTAGTTGCTGCTTCGCGGCACCCTTCTCATGGTAGCATGCCGTATCGAGGCTAGCTTTGGATCCAACCGACATCGACTTCCCTTCGTCATTATTTTACGCTTCGCTGTCGCCGTCTCCGTCTTCATCCCCTCTCCCTTCGCCCTCTCCGTCTTCATCCCCTCCCTCTCCCCCATGTGCTCACCCCCGAAAATCTCCTCAGCATGGATACCGTTCTCCTTTCGGCGCGCCCTGCGCCCCGATCCTGACCTAGATTCCCAACCCTTGATGGCCTTTCAGCAGCGTGTGCTCACACTCACACTGCACGGGAGTGCGTGCTCTTTCAGGCGAAGAGTCTGCAGGCGTTCGGAGTGGCGCCGTCGTGTCGAAGCGCCAGCCACGCCCCCGCCGTGCTAGCCTGCGTTCCCTGGGGCGCCTCTGGCCTCCCAGATGCCATGTCTTTCCACGGAGGATGCCCGCAGTGTGGCCATGAGTGCGAGTTTGCCCATCGCTTCGGCGTTGGCGACGCTCCTGGCTCACCGTTCCTGCCTCCCAGAGTCGCCGCCTCGTCCTGCTCCTGCTCCCTCACCTGCTTGCCCTCTTGTAGCTGCTGCTCGTCCTCGTCCTCGTCGTCGTCGTCGTCGTCGTCCTTCTCCCCTTCCTCCTCCTCCTATTCCTCCTCCTCGTCCTCCTTCTCATCTCTCATCTCGTTCCGCCCCATGGTCATTGTAATCCTCCCTATTCCTCCTCGGCGCTCTGCATGTGGGCTGCGTGAGAGACGGTCCGTGCTGCTTCACCGCGGCCCTTGCTGCCCAACAGGTGACGATCACCTTCCAGGTGACGGAGCGAGCTGCCCAAGGGGACCGAGAGCTGGCGGAGCCCCCCTCTCGCAAGCACGGGCGGTGTTGGCCAGGAATCGGATCGACTCGGCAGGAGGGACTTTCGAAACCCGCAGCGCCATGTGGGGCTCCTTCGGCAGCGTTGATTAGCGTCGACTCGCGAGAGCCGACAAGATGGCATGGGAGGCTCCCACGAGAGTTGCCACCGAAGGCTCCTCGTGGAGCCACAAGGTGGAGAACATAGCAAAAAACAGTGTCAGCAGTCCCTCTGCCTGCCCTGCTCGGTGGAGGACTTCGCAGGCGATGGGAGTGCGCCCACTTCTCTCCCACAAGTGGTCGGTGGCAGTGCTAAGTCGGCCTCTCAGGAGCGCCGGTCCACTTCGTCAGTGCTGCGGCCCGAGAGGCTTGCTGGCGGAGCAAAACCACAGTATAGTGATCATCTTCTATTCGGTGTTTTGCCGATCGGCGCGGGCCCTAGCACCCCCCCCTCCCCCCCGTCTTTGGCGCCTACTTCGAGCAGGCGGGGTCTCCCCCATAGGACGCACTGTCGCAAACGGTGGCATCAAGCCGAGGTCCGGAGCCAGACCCGCCCCCTCCCCCCCCCCTTCCGCCCAATGTCGAACCGCTGAATAAGAAAACGTTCACATAAGCACAGCGCCTTGGGTCACGCCCGTGGCGGCGAAGGCGGCGGCTGCGTGCCAGCGGGCGCGAGGCAGCCGGGGGGTCCCCCGTGCGTGGAGGTCACCGTCGACACACAGGCGCGACGGGCGACGGCCATAAACCCCTTTGTTTTTTTTTTTCGCGGGAGACCGCCTTGGGAGTTTTAAAATTCTTTAAAATTTTTTGTTTATGCGATTTTTATTCTATTAATAGTAATAATTTATTATTGACGTCATGTTGGATTGTGCTTTTACTTTTTTTGCTTTTTTTCTTCTCTTTTTCTTTCTTCTTTCTTTATTTCTTTCTTGTTATAGGTTCGATTTATCTTTCCTTTTATTTTTGTTCATTTCTTTTTTTTTGCGTTTTTCTTTTTTTAACCGCCGCTTTCGGTGGCTCGGGGGGGCGGGGGGGAGGCAGAGGCTTGGGGCGAGGAGGAGGATGGAGGAGGAGGAGGAGGAGGGAGGAGGAAGGAGGAGGAGGAGGAGTGAGGAGAGAGGGAGGAGGAGGAGAGGCGGAGGAGGAGGAGAGGAGGGGAGGAGGAAGCGAGGACGGAGGAGGAGGAGGAGGGAGGAGGAGGAGGATGGGAGGGAGGGAGGGATGAGAGAAGAGGAGGGGAGGAGGGATAAGGGATTTTGGATTGGGGTCCGTAGCCATTTGGCTCACAAGTCGGTAGCGGTCGGCTCTTTCACTATGCTTTTACGTTTTTTTAGAATCTTTTAGTATTCTCTTCATTTTCGGGTCTTATCATTTTTTCGTTATTTTATCTGATAAGCTTACGTCGGACTGACCATACTGGCCTGGGGGATAGCAGCGGCCCCCGACAGTGCGCCTCCCGGCCTTGGTCAGGAGGGATTTTTGCGATTCTGTGAGCTCCTGTGGGAGCATCAGCTTCACTTCCCTGCCTCATGGGTGGCGATGCGGCGCCAAAGGACATCCTTCTGGGGCCGAAGAAGCCATTGTGGAGCTGCACGAAGTGCCACAGGAAAGGCAACTGGGCGTGCAGGATCCGCTGCGCCTGCGGCTCACCAGCGCCAGCTGCGGTGGCCAAGGCAGCCAAGTCGGCACACGAACGGGAAGTTGCAGGGAATGGAGCTGCTGGGCAGAAAGGGCCGAAGGGCAGGTGGGCCGATGGTGCACCAGCTACCTTGGACAAGGCTCTGCAGGCAATTGTCAAGAGGCTCGAGAGCTTGGAGAAGCCAGCAACCAGAGTGGTGGCCAAGTCGCCGCCATGGGCTGACAAGGTGGAGTCCGCTGAGAAGGAGCTCAAGGACAGGCTGGCCCACTGGCAGAAGGCGGCGCGGCTCTCGGTGCACGACACTGACAAGAAGATGGCGGAGGACATGGTCGCGCAGCTGCAGCACCAGATCCAGGAGGCCAAACCTCTGCATGTACAAGCTCACTCAGTCACTACCAGACTGGAGAGGGCAAGGGACAACGTCACGAAGTTGGAGAAGCATGTCTCGGACACCAGGGAAGAAATACAGAAGGCGAAGGACGAGCTGGACAAGAAGCTCGCGGATGCTGAGACGGCGCTGCAGGAAGCACGGCGTCAACAGCTGGCCTTGCAGCAAGAGGCCAAGGAAACCTTCGCCAAGGGCTTCTGCACTGACGGCAGTGGGCCCATACTCAAGATGGACGAGTCGATCTTGGCGGGCGCCAGTACTGAATTCAGGGAATGGTTCGTCGCCAAGAAAGCAACGGAGGATGCGCATTTCGAGACGCTCCGCAAGCTCATGGAGGCCCAAGCTGTTGCTGCAAGCAACGCTATGCGCCTTCCTCCTGCTGTGCCAGGGGGCGGAGAGCAAGACGACGACGCCGAGGACTGCGACGACGCCGACATGGACCTCGACGACGCTGATGAGGACATCGATAAGCTGGGACAAGCACAGGCCAGCGTGGCCGCAGCCATGTCGGCGGCCACCTCAGCAACTGGCGACGCCAAAGCTAAGGCTGAGCAGGAGCTTACCAGAGCCAAGCGGCTACTGGCTGAGCAGATTGCAGCCATGGCAAAGAGGCGAAAGAGAGGGTAACTCGTCTGATGAAGTTCGATTGAGTGGTTGGACGGCAGCATCAGAACAGTTATGTCAGGGTGAGCTGTCGCTTGGTTTCTTGCTCTACTTCGTCAACATGCACTACGAGTGCTATGCGATATGCGATGAGTTGCCAGCTGAGGTGCAACGTAATGATGGGCAGCATGATGTTGAGATGCAGCAAGTCATCATGCCTGGCGATTTCTTGGCTGGGAAGGAGATTGATGTGGAGTGGCCTGACGTTGGGTTTCAGATCCCCTCGCTGCAGCGTTCACAGATGTTCGACGATGCCAGGTTTGACCCGAAGTACTACGTGCCAGTGGACTGCAGCCTGGGCTGTGGGGTCGGGGATTCAGCCCCCGTTCGTCACCCCCCACAGCCCACATGGACTTCGGGAGCAGGTGCGTGTGCGAGCACCTCTGCGTCGAGCGGCGCACTCACGGCTCCTTGGGAGCCGCAGAAGTCGCCACATGAAGACGCTGCGCTACGCTCTGTTCTACCTGATTTGCCTCGACTGGCCCGCTCCTCGGGGTCGAGGCCAAGAGCGACGCTGAGCACATCTGCAGGATTGGGTACCTTGTCGACTGCCTGTGCGGCCCCGTTTGGGGACAGTCGTCGCCATGTAGCTGGCCCCGATGGCACGCATTGTCGTTCTCAAGCCGATCAGGCAAAGGAGGGCGGCAGTACCGACCATCGGGGAGCCTCGATAGGTCAGAACGCAGTGAGTAAATTGGGAGAGCCCACTGACATGGATGTTGAGCCACCTCCAGAGGATCCAGTGTCACCTCGGCAAATATTTCTTGATGCGATGATCCTGAGGGCGACTGGATGGATACTTAGACTAGATTGCGAGTCCAGCGGGTACCACGATTGGATGACCTGGTGCGTACCTTACGTCATGGCGAAACTGCAAGTGGTATCGTGGACTGAGGAGGCAGCGGCTGGACGCTCGATTGAGCAGATGGCTCAGGACATCTGTTTTGGTTGCTGGCAGAGTTCAGGGCCTGGCCGAAGGAACGTGATTGAGTGCATGAACTGGGTCGGCAGACGGGAGTCGCATGAGTCTTGGGAAAGAGCAGTCAGTCGGCACTTCAGAGCTCTGAGGCACATGCGCAGAGCAATGAGGCTCTACCTGGGTAACGCTGCCCCCCCCAGCTGTGCGAGAGTATCGCGAAGATGCTGATGGTGAAATCCTGCCTCTTGTCGGACGTGATGGGCTACCTCGACCAACACCTGCAGACGAGGCCCTGCAGCAAGATGATGAGCAGGTACCTCAGCGTGAGCCAGATGATGATGATGCTGCCGATGATCGACGTAGGAGGAGCTTCAGGCACGATGCTCCTGCGCCCTCTCCGCTTCCTAGGCCAGCGGCTGCGGCTTCGCCTCAGGACCTGCGGCTGCCATTGCATGATGAAGATGGGGCTGGCCGAGCAGGCGGGGGCAACCAACCTGCCACGCCTGGGGCCAAGCGGGTAAGGGCCAAAAAGCAAAAGGACAAAAGTTGGGGCTTTATGACGTGTAATGCTAACTCCTGGGCCTCTTGGGAGACCGTCCTGGACTGGAGGCTGGATGAAAAACATGGCCTCCCACCTCCCCACTTCTACGCCGGGCAGGAAACCAGGATCAGAGCCCAGGAGGAGATCGATAAGCATCGAAAGGCCCTCAGGTGTAAAGGACTGTGCGTGGACTTTGTACCTGCCGTCAGCACTGGTGAGCATGTGCTGTCAACGTCTGCTGGTGTGGTGACGGGAGCTCGGAAGTTCTTGAACCAGAAGACCTTAGAGGCCCAGGAGATCACCAAGATGCCCCAAGCAGCAGGTAGGGTCTGTGCTAGGCATGTTCAAGCTGTGCTTCCTGGGGGCATTGTCTGGGTCTCTGTGTATTTCTGGCATTCGATCGGGGTCAAGGGCGCGAATGCGGACCTCTTAGCTGGGCTTGGAAGGTTCCTGGAGTCCCTCACGGTGCCCTGGGTCATCGGCTGCGACGCTAACATGGAGCCGAACTCCGAAGGTCTGAAGGCTTGGTGCTCCCAGCTAGGAGCGTCGGTGGTGGCTTCAGCTGAAGCTACGTGCAGTGCAGGAGTTGGCAACAACCTTGATTTTTTCTTGCTGTCGCACGGCCTGAGCCAGTGCGTCGAGAGTGTCAGCGTGCTCCACGACGCGCCCATCAGCCCCCACTCGCCTGTCGAGCTTTGGTTGAAAGGAATCTCGATGTCAATCCCGATCCACGTTAGGCTCAAGAGGAAGCGTTTCCCGACAAAGAAGCCTATTGGGTGTATCAGACAGCCTGAACATAGAATTTGGTCTTGGGATTCTGGACGAGATGATATTGATTTCTTGGGCTC